TGGGTAATCATGCTGGATATCTTCTAGCAGCTGATGCTCTTAAAGGAGTATACTCAATTGGTTAAGTGGAATCACCATTACTCTCTTTGTTCTCCTATCTAATCTCTAGTGCCATGGATGCTATAGGTGCTACATTTGATACCATCTCTCCAACCTACAGATCAAGAGTTGGTTGATGTTTTTTAGTTTGACTTAATAGCTTTCTTTGTTGGTTTTTGTTGTTTCGCATTGTTTGTATGCTTCATTACTTTTTTGCTCTTTTATTTCAATAATACGAGGTATTTCAGATCCAAAAAATAATAATACTACTTTATATATGTTATTGTCCAAGAAATTGTATTGATAAACAGTTAACGAATTGCTATCCTGGTAGCAACGTTACATTTCTCATTTAAAAGAAATCTCAGGTTTGAATTGGCAATTCAAAATTTTAAACAAAATTTGTACCCATAACATCTTAATGATAAGGATGATTTTTAAAATTGATATAATGACAACTAAATTTTAAGCTGGGGAAGACACTCACTAGATCAATAATACTTATTGGGAGAACTTTGTTACCAGTAATCTTACCCGACTGGAGTCATGAATAATAAGTAATTGTACTAAAAAAATTAATAGTTAAATTCTTGAAATTATTTTTACTTTCGTTTTTATGCAGTAACTCCGCCTATGTTTATAGCCGGTCCCAAGCCCGGGTAAAGGAGGAGGGTTGTGTTAGGCCATCAACAGCCAATGTAAAAATTTGTTGAATCTATCATGAACATGGACAATAGACGTTATAATGTTAATGCTAGGTCGTTGCCCGTAAGTAACGCGTTGCATGGCTCGAGTACAGTGATAAGTGAGTTAGAGCCGCTGCATCGGCGCCCGGATGTAGTGTTAAATGAGCAAGGGCTACCGCGTCATTCTGGACGCACGCGGCTAAAGAAGTTAGTCCATAAGAGCAAAATTAGATTTGGTACTTGGAATGTTGGGACATTAAATTGTAAATCTGTAGAGGTTGTAGGGGTTATGATTCAAAGGAAAATCAATATCCTTTGCTTGCAAGAAACAAAATGGCGTGGAGAAGAAGCTAAGGATATTCAAGGTTTCAAACTTTGGTATACAGGAAAAGTAAGTGCACGCAATGGAGTAGGCATCATTATAGATAAGGAGTGGAAGAAGAACGTTGTAGAAGTTAGCAGAATTGGAGACAGAATTATTTCTTTAAAAATGATAATTGGACGTGAGACTGTTAATATTGTTAGCGCTTATGCGCCGCAAGTCGGGACAGAAGCCAGTCTTAAGGAATTATTTTGGGAGGATCTGGAGGGGTTGATTCGACACATACCACAGAGTGAAAAGATTTTTATTGGAGAAGACTTTAATGGGCATGTCGGGAGGGAAGCTGGTCAGTATGCGAGGGTGCATGGTGGTTTTGGTTTTGGAGAGCTAAACAATGAAGGGCAAACTCTTCTTGATTTCTCATTGGCGTATGATTTTAAGATTGCCAACACTTGTTTCAAGAAGAGAGATGAGCATCTCATCACCTACAAAAGTGGAGCCTCAAGGTCGCAGATTGATTTTCTTTTGGTTAGGAACACTGATAGAAAACTTTGTAAAAATTGTAAGGTGATCCCTGGAGATGCTGTAACGACACAACATAGGGTCCTAGTCCTTGATGTGTGTATTATGAGTAAAATCCAAAAACGTCGACAAGTAGTAACACCAAGGATTAGGTGGTGGCAATTAAAAGGTGAGAAGCAAGATATTTTCAAGCGAAATCTTTTGGATAAAGGAATTTGGGATTCTCAGGGAAGTGCTAACATCATATGGGAGGATATGGCTAAAAAGATACGGGAGGTTGCAAAAGTAGTTTTGGGAGAATCGAAAGGTTCTGGTCCGAGAGATAAGGAGTCTTGGTGGTGGAATAATAGTGTACAGGACAAAATCAAGTATAAGAAGAACTGTTTTAAAGCCTTACATTTGTGTAACAATGAGGAAAATTGGGAGAGGTACCGTATGGCTAAGAAGGAAACTAAGAGAGCTGTGGGTGAAGCTCGTTCTAAAGCTTTTGAAGAATTTTATAAAACCTTGAGACGAAGGAAGGAGAGCAAAATATTTATAAGATTGTCAAGAGTAGGGAAAGAAAATCAAGAGATCTAGAACAGGTAAGGTGTATTAAGGATGAAGAGGGAAGAATTTTAGTTACAGATGATGAAATTAAAAATAGATGGGAGACTTATTTTTCTAAACTTTTCAATGATGGAGAGGATTCATCTAGTAACTTGGAGGATTTAGTAACTGGTGAAGGAGAACAAAATTTGTCATTCTATCGAAAAATACGTGATAAGGAGGTAAAGGAAGCTCTTAAGAAAATGGCAAATGGTAGAGCTAACGGACCTGATTGTATATCTATCGAAGTGTGGAAATGTTTAGGTGAAGAAGGGGTGAGATGGTTAACTAAGTTATTTAATGTGATTTTACGGTCCAAGAAAATGCCTGATGAGTGGAGGAGAAGTACATTAATTCCTATTTATAAAAATAAAGGAGATATTCAGAATTGTACTAACTATAGAGGGATTAAACTCATGAGCCACACAATGAAATTGTGGGAGAAAGTAATTGAGCACAGGTTGAGATTGGAGACAAGTATTTCTGAGAATCAATTTGGTTTTATGCCAGGTAGATCAACTACAGAGGCGATTTATCTACTAAGGGGATTAATGGAAAAGTATCGTTGTAAAGATAAAGATCTACACATGGTTTTTATTGATTTGGAAAAAGCTTATGACCGTATACCAAGAGAAGTGCTTTGGAAAGCGTTGGAAAAAAAGAGAGTACGGATTGCTTATATTAAAGCCATACAAGATACGTATGAGGGGGTAAAAACTAGTATAAGAACGCCTAGTGGTCAAACAAAGGATTTTCCTATAAAGATTGGGCTACATCAGGGATCATCTCTGAGTCCTTATTTGTTCAACTTGATTTTAAATGTTTTAACGGAACATATTCAAGAGGAAATCCCGAAATGTATGCTCTTCGCGGATGATATAGTTCTTATAGCAGAGACAAGAGAAGAGGTTAATTGCAAACTTGAGTTATGGAGGAGGACATTGAAGTCGAAAGGTTTTCGTCTGAGTAGAAGTAAGACGGAATATTTATATTGTAAATTTGATAAAGGACTATTCGAAACTAATTTGGAAGTGAAATTGGGAGATCAAATTATACCTCAAGTGGAAAAGTTTAGATATTTGGGAGCCATTATCCAAAATGATGGCGAAATCAGTGGAGATATTTCACATAGAATTCAAGCTGGGTGGTTTAATTGGAGAAAAGCTAAAGGAGTTATTTGTGACCGTAAGGTGCCTAATGAACTTAAAGGAAAGTTTTATCGTACTGCTATTAGACCGGCAATGTTATATAGTAGTGAATGCTGGGCTCTAACGGGACAGCAAGAGTATAAAGTTGGAGTAGCAGAGATGAGAATGTTACGATGGATGTGCGGACATACACATAAAGATAAAATTCGAAATGAGCACATACGTGAAAAAGTGAGGGTGGCACCTATTGAGGAAAAAATGGTAGAAAATCGGTTGAGATGGTTTGGGCATGTACAAAGAAGACCAAGGGAGGCACCAGTGAGAAGAGTGGAACATATAACTTTGAGTCCGATTAAGAGAGGTAGAGGAAGGCCTAAGAGAACACTCTTGGAAGTTGTTGAACGTGATCTCTTAATTAATAATATTTCTAAAAGCTTAATAAATGATAGAGCACAATGGCGTCTTGCAATCCATGTAACCGACCCCACCTAGTGAGATAAAAGCTTGTTGTTGTTGTTGTTGTTGTTCGTTTTATGCAGTATTGTTTAAAGTGGTTACAAAGTGTCATATTTTCTCTTTCAAAATCAAAAAATTAATATTAATTTTATCACAGCAAAAGTTAATGTTTTTCCTGTACATCGTCACGAAAACTTAAAAGAGACATCTTAATTACTGTTACATTCATGAGTCCTAAAATATAAAAATAACACTGTTCGGCTCTGGCACTGTGCTTCCCACCCAAATTTCCAGCCATCAGCCTATCGTTCTCTGCGTTTTTTTTTTTTTTTAATTTTTGGTCTGAAATGAGCTCTTCGTTTTTTTAACCAACCTTTGTCACTCGAAAACTAAATGGGCTTTTTGTCCAAAAACAAATGGGCTTCTGAAATTGGGGCCGAAAACGGTTGAGGGACTTTAAAAATGTACCAATTGATCTCTGAAAGCCACATGGGTCCCTACTGGCCCAAATTTAGTCGGGCTGGACCAGCGAGTGTAAAGCTTTTCTACAGTAATATTTTATAATGTATTCCTGAGTGCAAGGTTTTTACTAAATTGGTGATGTCAAAGACGAAGATAAATGTGTAAAGACATTTTTTAACGTTTTAACATTTTCCAGTAATATAAATTATATTAAGAGATCATCACACACGTCGAAGCCATTGCCTTCCACATGGAATTGGACAACTATCAAGCATAAAAAGTATTTTGGCCACTTCATGTATTCTTTTTTCGGCAACGGAAGTGAGATTCCATTAAATAAGCATCAGAGCTCAACAAAAGCACGGCAAAGCAAAAACGAAAGACAAAAGACTATCCAGAATCTCTAAAAAAAGATCAATCAATCTCCAAACATTTAAACAGAGGGATTGGGGGCCTAGCAACCCAGTCACTTCATGTATTCGTATATACATCTCTCAATATATTCATATATAGGCCGCTTGACGGGGGAAAAAATGTAGCTAGTTCCCCACTTATTCAATTTAATGATTTGACTATCCATTTGTAATGAATTCATATTATTCATCTAATTTAATTTAACAATAAAATGTTTATTTTATAGCACGTGTTCATGTGTTCTCTCTCCCATGAAAAGCGCACAATAGTTTCCCATTCTATCCCAGATCAATCAAGAATCCCGTTTGGTTGGATTCTCAGAATGAGGATTCTTCGTAATTCTGATTCATTTTAATGGTTCATGTTGTTTGGTTGCCCTTTTACCTTTGCCTTTGTAATCTAGATTATGCCAAACAAGTGCATCCCCATGACAATGAACAACCTATGTAATGGGGATTACTACTGCCATGAATCCACCTCTAGACATATTTACCCTCTACCCACGTCACAGCCTTTTGTTATCGGCATCCTCAACCTCCTCCTCTACCCCTGATGTGCCTCGCGGACCGTGCCCTTCCTTAGCTGCTGTCACCGTCTCTGTCATCCACCCTCTTCAACCTCTTCAACCTCGCGATATTGTTCATAGATGCCGGGAAAGGAGGAGGATCGGGGGGGTTTGGTTTTCAGTCGATCATGTCTTCTCCAATCATTCGCATAGCCAAGTCAGTGACCTCTCTTGCCCGTTCGTCTTCTCGCTGTTTTCCACAGATCTTCTTGCTTTGTATCAGGTCTGTTTCTTTCTTTCCCGCCCCTTTTTTTTTGGGGAACGAACCTGATTATGGTAGGATGGTGAGGACAATATGTTGTAGATTTTGCTGGTACGACGAAGATGGAGGAGGAAGGACGAAGGGCAATAATGAAGGGGGTAAAATTGTCCCTCTATTTTGTATTAGCTGGTATTCAATATTAGCGTAATATAATAATTATACAACACAGCGTTTGAGCGCTCATTTGGTCAAAAGCACATGAAACTGTTATTCATCCAGCAAGAGTGAATCGATTGAGGAAAATAGATCAATAGTAAGCCAACATAGCGCTCCATTATTATAGTGTGCATTCATTGCTTAGCCAAGATACACGGAATGATGTCAGCAATCACGAGGATTAAAAATCGATATAATGATTAAAATACAGCAGCCAGCACTACCCCATGGCCATAGAAAATAAATACTTCAAATTATATGGATGACTATTTTTAAAAAATGGATAAGATACTATAATTGCCGCACCCAGCACCCAGCACCCTGCTCGCAGGTAGGAACAGGTTCAATTTCCATCTCTTCACTCATCAATTCCCATATCATAGGAATGATGAATCACTCTGTCTGAAGAAAATAAAAATTTTGTTTCCTGCGCTGGGAATCATATACATGAAAATTACATATAGGATCACCGAATAAATCTCATAAAATTAGTGCAAAGCGATGGGCTATATAGATGAATTGCCTAAACAAGAGAGAACTTGTCATACCAAAGCATGGTGGTTCATAAAGAAGTGGTGTGAGTCCCTTAACCATCCGTCCTAGATTTGATCCTTGAAGCGATGATAATGTAGGTGATGCGCTTGAGAGAGACAAGGCCTAGAAATGACAGACTCGAATTGGAATTAAATCAGAGTTATTGGTTTGAATAGCGGGTGATTTGCTCGGGAAAAAAACTTGTCACGGGCTCACTCGACCACTGGCCAAGTAAGCAATCCAATAACTCGTGTTTCTAGTTCTACAATATAGTATGGCAAGGAAAAGGAGCGATGGATTTGGGGAGCATTCATACTCTTATACGTATCCAAATGGTGTGCGATGCCTAATCCAGAAGGGAGGGCGCATAAAGTGTTGTGGGTCCCTCCTCTGCTCTGCTCGATCTCAAAGTCTTTCCCGTTCGGGCCGGGGAATTCGGATTAGCCTTCTCGTTGGCTGCAATCCCCTTTTGTCCTGTCCCAGTGCGATACGGTATCATATCCTTTTGTTCTCGTTCTCAGCTGCCGCTCCTTCCTCCTCCGACCCAAAATCCACGGCCACATGGGAGCGAGCAGCAGCGATCCCACTCAGGATGGCTCAGATGACCCCCAGAAGCGCTCTGAGATTTATACTTATGAAGCTCCCTGGCACATCTACGCCATGAACTGGAGTGTCCGTCGCGACAAGAAGTATCGCCTCGCCATCGCCAGTTTGCTCGAGCATTGCCCCAACCGCGTTGAAATTGTTCAGCTCGACGACGTCAACGGCGAGATTCGCTCCGATCCTTCTCTCTCCTTCGAGCACCCTTACCCTCCCACCAAGGTCATATTCATCCCGGACAAGGAGTGCCAGAGACCCGACCTCCTCGCCACCTCCAGCGACTTTCTCCGAGTCTGGCGCCTTTCCGACCCCGATGATAATCCCGCCCAGCGGGTCGAGCTCAAGAGCCTCCTCAATGGCAACCAAAACAGTGAGTTCTGCGGCCCTCTCACCTCTTTCGACTGGAACGAGGCGGAGCCCAAGCGTATCGGCACTTCCAGCATTGATAAAACCTGCACAATTTGGGATATCGAGAAGGAGGCCGTGGACACGCAGCTCATTGCCCATGATAAGGATGTTTACGACATCGCTTGGGGTGGCGTTGGGGTCTTCGCCTCCGTCTCCGCCGATGGATCCGTTAGGGTTTTCGATTTGCGCGATAAGGAGCATTCTACTATAATCTACGAGAGCTCCGAGCCGGACACGCCCCTGGTTCGACTCGGGTGGAATAAGCAGGACCCGAGGTACATGGCCACAATCATCATGGACAGTGCCAAGGTCGTCATCCTTGATATTCGTTTCCCTACGCTTCCGGTGGTGGAGTTGCAGAGGCACCAGGCGAGCGTGAATGCGATTGCCTGGGCGCCGCATAGTTCGTGCCATATATGCACCGCCGGGGATGACTCTCAGGCGCTAATTTGGGACCTATCCTCCATGGGTCAGCCGGTGGAAGGAGGATTGGATCCTATCTTAGCCTATACTGCCGGGGCAGAGATTGAGCAGCTTCAATGGTCGTCGTCTCAGCCGGACTGGGTTGCGATTGCTTTCTCCACCAAGCTTCAGATCCTAAGGGTATGAAATTTGATATTTTCCTGACATAGCCATCCATTCACCTGTCACCAGGGTTGAAATCGCCACATTTAAGATACTTTGCAAAATTCAGGTTTACTGTTTTACACCCAGTCGTCAGCACAGTTGACCCCTATTGGGTGGAATGGTGATAATTTGTCTCTGATGCCGTGCCACTTGTATGAACAATGAACCTTGTCATTTATTTTCAGTTCAGTAGATATGCAACAAAATAGGGGTAGTTAATTTTATCCTTCTGGAGTCCTAAAGGGCGCATAAGCCAGTGCCACGAAGGTGGCCTCGTGTTTTCCCAGGTTGTTAATAACTGTGAGACATGGATAATCTTCTTGTGTGTACATGTTTTATTATCCATATTTTAACTCTGGCATTGTGATCATTTGGTGATGAATAAGTTGCCGTCGGGAAACAGTTTCATAATCCGAAAAGAATTGTTGTCTCTAAACCAGCATAAATGAAGGGGATTAACTGGTGTAAGCAAACACTCACCTAAGCATATTGACAAGAACATATCATCCCAAAAATTAACAGCACAATAAAGGATATCGAAAGAGAGGATTCATCACAAAGCAAAATACGCTAAAAATAATGCACAATTTTCAGATGACGCCCGCTGATGGCAGCTTCTCGAAGAGGGTATGGGCAGGTTGTGATAGCACAGTTTCTTGTCCACGTAACTTCCGGCTGGCTGTGAAGTCCAAATCAGTGGCTAGTTGATAACCCCCAGCGCGTCAATGAAGGAACACAAGCGTCGCTCCGTTATCAAACTTTTCGTAGGCCCAATGCTTCTTACGACTATTATTTATCCTTGCCGATGGGAAAGAGCCAAACTTTATAGCATAGACTACAAAATTGATTATGCCAATTTCCTTAAAGCAATGATTAAGAAATAATGGACTAAACAAGAAAGGAATCATTTGATTGCTCTGGAGCTCACATCACATTACACCCCACGGCGTTGTCGTCACTGAGGTAGTCATCTACTCGCGCCGTTGGTCTTAAAAATGGTGGCTGATATGTGGGCTTGTCGTAGTGGTAATGCACTTGGACGCTAGTTGGAAGCTGAGAAGCAGCTGCGGATGAAGCTATTGCACAGTAAGGTGCGTTGGCTGTCCATGGCTGCGCAATATAACAGAGCTGATTATCAAATTTAATTTCATTGTATGGGTGAGGCGTCTGAGAAATTTCTTTCAAGTCTTGAGGAGGATTAAATGTGAGATCCACCCCTTGTTGAACCGTCAGAGTGTTTCCCTTCTTCAAATCCAGAGGAGGATTAGAAGCATTTGGAGTCTTGCAAGAGTCATTGTTATTATATTTATTCTTGCTTCTATAGCCCCACCTCCTCTAATGTCCTCATCCTTCTGAGTTTTATGCTCATATTCATCAGGATGCTTCTCCTTTTCCTTTCCTCTTGCTACTGCAATTGTTTCTGCTTCTTTCTTACTGGCTTTGAGTTCCTCAAAGCCGTCAAGTTCTGCATGCTTTCCAACTTTTAACAGCCTTTTAATTAATATCTGTGGATCCACATTCCCTAAAACTGTCACTTTGGGCCGCCAAGGGTCTATATCCGTCTTCAAGATCCCTGACAGTGTCCACCATGCCCGTTAGCGGCAGCAGCAGACAAAACAGAGAACATAACAAGGGACGATTTTTCTTTGATTCATTCAGAAAGTTTTAGTAGTTATTACCTTCTATACCCTTTAACGCCTTCTTAACTTTCTTCTCACATCCTTCACAGCAGTTAGCAGACACCTTCAACTCAATCTTCTGAGATGAAGGAATGAAGATTTTTTTTTTTTCAGTTCCACTATATAGATGTCAAATGAGAATATGAAATGGACGAAAGAAAAATAAGAATGAAATTAGCGAGTCTATAAAAAGAGATTGAATGAAAAATTGATACTCACCAGAACTTTTAAGTCCACTTCCGTTGCCATGTTTTTGGTCGGGAAGTGGAAGGGTGATGAGAAATGTGTAACATGAAACACAGGTATTTGACACTCAAACCGTTGACTGGTGGGCCCTATTTATATGCACAAAAATCGCAGGAATAGTTATGTGCCTTTTCCTGTTCAATATTTTATGGTATTTACATGTAACCTTTAAATGGTTTTCCAACGCAAAAGCACAAATGCTCTTCCTTTCCTATGCTTTTCTGCAATTTGCCGCGTAATGTGAGGTTTCATCTGCATGAAGTTCAAACACAGAGCTTGTCCTCAATTCAGAACTGTGTAAAATTATCTCACGCTCACCAGCTCCCGCATTCTACAAGAAATTATTAACCCATAGCCATATACTCTACCTACTAGTTCAAATCTGAAAAATTGAACGGGAGACCTTCTTATAGAAGTGCCAATATCCAAGCATTTGGATATTCCCTTCATATCCTCTGTGTTTCTTTCTCTCTTTCTTTTTTAGGGCCAAAAATTCCCTCCACATCCTTCATTTGCCTTAGCATGAACATGCTAGGCTACCTATTAGACCATCAAGCCTGGATCTTTCCTGCTGGGGTGAAAAATGGGGGAGTCGTATATAAAGCTCTACCACTTTTCATCATTTTTGTAAAGTAAAGGTGGTCGATTTCTGACCTTCACCTAGCCTGGCATTTGATGATTGCTAATTTATATTTATTACATTTGATTAGGAGAAGCTTTTTCTCATGTGGCCATTTTTTGTTTCAAAGAATCCTAGGAATAAAAGCAATCAGGGTACGTCATCTTTGCTTTGTTCTATTGGTATATTTGGTTTGATCATGCCAACAAGGATCCAACATTCGGTTAAATTAAGGTTTCATGCAACCAAAAAACAAATACTTTCTCCCTCAGGCTTTACACAATTAATCATCAAGTTCGCCACTTCTCTGTTTTCCGCTAATATCAAATATACAAGTTTTGACAGAACTAAACAGGCTCTTATGTTTAAATTTGAGTGGAAGAGGTGAGCCATACACGTGGGTATGTTATGAATTACGATAGTTTTGAAAGAGGTAGGAAAGAGAAGGCAAAGATGCAATCCAACCCCATTCTTCTGTCATAAGCAGTGTGATGAATACTCTAGGAATTTATAGATTCCTTAAGATGGGAGATAGAACGTGACTCATGTCATTTATGTTGGTACCTCAAATCTTTTTTTCCCTTTTTTCTTGGTTTTCTTTGCCTATAGAATATTCATTCATTGAAAACAAGCCAGCAACAGCAAATAAGAGCGCACAGAAAAACAGTTGGCCAACCCGCCGCCCTAGGCTTATTCCACAAGGAACAGAATAAAAGTGGCAAATTCTCCGAATAAAGTCTGCTGCTTTCTAGGGGCACTCTAAGTCTCCACACAAGTTACCATCAAGCAGAATAAGCTTGCCAACAGTTCTATACAACATAAAGCACTCATGCCAACTTGATGGCTTCTTGTTACGGAATAAGTTGCCAAGCCACCTTCTCATTTTGACAAAGAGAGAGAACTTCAAATTTGTTATTATTCTATCACATTCTGGACCCCAAGTTATTCAAAATTTTGAAACATGTCATTAGAAATGTTGTAAGGGCCTTGGCGATGGCTAGACTGTTCAGAGTGTGTTGATTCGAAAGGGAACGTGAGGTAACGAGATAACACGAAAAAGGGGCTACTCAATGTTCTGAGAACTAACTGGTCAAAAAAATATGTTCTGAGAACTACAGTCTACTGACTTTATAATTGGGCTTTTAGTTTTGGGCTCAAACATATGGCAGTGAAACAAAGGCTTTAAATTCTGGTAGGGAGGACCAAATCTGGTACAGTTTTTTTTTTTTTTGGGGGGTGAAACGGCACAGATTTTAAATTCTTTCATTTTAATATCCATGCAATTTTAAGGTGAAATTTAGAACACTTTTTAACAAAAAACTAGTGTGTCATACAAGCTGAAAATAATGCTATTTATCTTAATATCCGTGCAATTTTAAGGTTATCTCTAGAAAACTCGAAGAGAACCACGTGATGGAACAAATTCGAGCAGCTAAAATATTTTTTTTCCCAAGAAAAATAGTTAAAAGCATCTCAGTGCTTAAATTTACATGTGATTGTCAGTTATAGGGGATTGAATGGAAATAGTTCTTTCCCCCTGTTTTGTAGAAATGAATAGAAATTGTTAGGTAGAGTGAACGGATGGTAACAATGTGAGTTAGTGGAGAAAGATGAAATGGAAGGAATTGAAGAGCTAACCAAATTTATGACAGTGAGTGGAGGCCACCAAATAACTAATTAATGGGACATCATCTTCCACTGTAGGCTGTGGCCATGCTAGGTTTCACCTTATAACTCCAAAAAAAGAGTTATGCTCTGTTGGTCCCTTATATTATGCTCTCTGATGATGGTCCCCTGTTTTCTACACTGAATCTACTCAACTTTTGAATTCACCATATTTATACATGTCCACATTTTTGTTTTGAATGTAAAGCTGTGTCACTGACAGAACACACGAGTACAATCAGCAAACGCGATATCGTTCTAGTAGGTAACGAATAATGACACCTACGAGTTTATTGGACACCTACTGATATTATATTGACAGCTTACCCAGCTCTGTCATTTACTGCTACACTACAACAGGCTTTTATTTACATTCCGAATTCTACATATCGATGTCATTCACTTGCACATTAATTAAAAAAAAAACATCAGAATAAACAAGAGACGGCTATTCCATTTTCGCAGGTTTTGCTCTTACGTTTTACTTAGCTAGCCATTCTGCTGGGGATTTTACCCACTGATGTAATTCCTGTTACTTTGAATGAAATTCTACTTCCATCCCCCCCCCCCAAAATTAAAAAAAAAACAACATACATGAACTTAACCAATTAACACAAATAAAATATAAATTAGATGGATACTTGTGCAAGAGTCAGGCTACCTAGTATGTTAGATTATTTATATTCAATATGTTCATCAAAATATACTAATCCTTAAACACACCTTAAATTTTACATATTCTTACTCTTATCTTTCAATTTTTGGTTGTGAGACTTTTAATTTCTTTATCTTTAGTATTCTTTGTACTTTTTTTTGATTTTTTGCTTATATTTTAAATATGTTTGAGGATAATCTCTTCCATCAAAATAATTTAAATTATTTAATTAGATGTATTTTAAGATTTTATATATTTTTAATCTGCCCCGCTTGATTATGTCCTCATTCTTTTGGCTTTTCTAAAATAAAGAAAAGAATCACATTACGTGTCTCGGATAATCCAGACTGAGACTGACTTCCCCCCATAATGGGTCTACTCTTTTTTTTTTTTTTTAAATTTTATGAATTTACATTTAGGCTCAGAAGCCGATCATCGCGGCTTTAAATTGAAAGCGCAATTTATTTTCCAACCCATTGACAGGATTCGTGGTTCAGTGGCTTCACTCTCTCCCAAAATCAACCCATTAGACAACATCACCTCGATACGTGGAAACTAAAAAAAGCAAGTGTCGCCGTCCGAGCTTTTACGCGATTGAATGAAAATGCCACATCCCCACATGCCCCTCCTTCTCTCATCTCAGGTCAAGTGAATCATGATGTGCTCAGTGCTCGCCACACCACTCGCACACTTTTTTTCATTTTTCATTTGGTCAATAATGCTGTGCCACTCAGTCCTCGAGTTCAGTTAAATATCGTTGTATCCTGCTACTCTTTCCAGACCCCTCACATGCTGAAATTTCAGTGGGGCCACGTTTCACCACCCTCCCTGTCTACTTTTATGCCCTTCTGAATCCTCTTGTCGTTTTTCTCTGTCATTTCTGGGACCATAAGTCCATCCCTGTGCAGATTTATGCAATTGCAAAACAACTGGTGCTTCCCACGCAACAGGTATAGTATATGAATTTTATATTGAATCACAGATACACTGCATTACATCATGAAGTCTCTCGTCTCGCATAAAACAGAGTCTCCCCTGTTTCTCTCAAATCCTCATCTTTATAGTTAAATTAAATAGCTCAAACAACAGTGAAGTATAGTCCTGGATGTGGTAAATGGAATGAGAAATACAAAGAAGAAAACGCGGAGGAAATTGTATCGACTCATAACAGTAATAAGAATGGGAGATTAAAAACTTAAACGTCGCGGTCCCTCTTGCATTCTGGTGGCATAACTGGGAAGCGCTTGCGGTCGGTGCAGTAGTTGTAGATGGTGTATTTCTGACGTACCCATCTGAGTCTTCGCCATTGAAGAGCATCGAGGTCACGGAACTCAGGCTGGTCCCACCATCTCTTGCCCTGTGTCGCACAGAACCTGGCGTTCACGGAGGCCTCGCACCCATCGATGTGGAATCCCTTGTAGGACGCTATGAATGGAGCTTTGGACCAGTCTGTCTTCTCCAAACCACCCCTCGTGGCCCAGTCATCTGCATTCCATAGACTGTTGTATATTTTCATGGGCTGCTGAAACGGGAATTTCACGCCCAGGTCCTTGCTGTTCTTGAACACTCTAATCGGTACATTGTCCACAAAGAATCTGCATCACCCACATCAGATTATGATTCCTTCTTGGTTTACATACTCGGATAATGCAGTGGTGAGAGTGAAGTACTTACACAATCTGATACAGGTTCCAGAGAACACAGTATGTGTGGTATTCTTTGGCGGGATCAAACCAGAGGTAGATTCTCTGCTCTCTGTTACCAGAGCCTCCGGTGAACACATTTGTCTGCAGAATGTAAGGCTGTCCAGATCTATTCCCCAAGAACTCAAAGTCTATCTCGTCGTGCTCCTTGTTATTGGATGATAGCTGCCAGAGTTCCCAGGCACAGGTAAATGAAACATATTTAAGGAACAACAGAAACAGATAAACGGAAAGTTGGTCGGTGTGTTTACATAAAAAGCAGTGACTGTGCCAGCAGAATCGCCAGGAACCATCTTGATGTGCATGCAGAAGTGACCAAACAAGTAAGATCCTTTGGACTGGAAACCAGTACCTGAGATTGAAGACAATAGCAATTGGTAAGATAAAACGAAGAGCTCGATGGGATACGAGGAAGGAGGAGGATAAGAAAGAGGAGGGAAGTATACCAGTGTACTTGTCGAGATGGAGCTGAACCTCAGAGCCTCCACTGATGTATTTAATGTGATCGTACGCCCAGGTGGGGTAGTAGTTTCGGCCGAAGGGAACGTCAACCGTCCTCCTTGGGGCGGCGGCGAGAGCGGCGGAGGTGAGGGATAAGAGAACGAGACAGAGAGACCACCGGGCAGAAGAAGCCATGGCTTGTGTTTGTGTTGGAACTGCAGGGATGGACATATAAAGAGGTATATATATAGGCTAGCCGAGGCCTTGCTTTGTTTATTTCATATTTGGACTATCCTATGATTAATCCTCACTAATTGCTCCGTTTGATTTTATTTTATTTTTTAAATAACAAACCGGTTGTTACGTTGCAAGAAGCTGTTGATTTATTAAAATATTTTATTAAGATCCTTTTCATCAACAACTGGTCTTCTTCTGTTTGATTTCATGGAATATCATGGGAAGTAAACCCTTCAATTGTACTTAGTATGGTGTTTGAAGCATTGAAAACAGGGTGAAATATCCAAACAGGGCAGCTTTATGTGTTTAGACATACTTTTATTTGTTTTGTTATTATTTTTATTATTTAAATTTGGGGGGAAAATAAAAGAGACAAATGGATACAGAGAAATGAAATGAGGGTGAGGGAGGCATGATGGGTTTGGGGCCTTGGAGATTTAAAAGAGGGAGATGGGCGGAACAAAGCACCTTGGGCCAAATGTGATAGGTGTGGTCCCCTCTCAAATCTAACAAATCAAAGCCAATCACTCTTGTTTCCTCTTTTTTTTTTTCTTTTAATATTTAAATATGTTGGCAGCTCATCGCAGATAAGGCATATTTTAAAATTCAAACAATTTTCTAAAAATATTTATCAATTGAATTAATCTTAAATTTGAACAAATAATCTTATGAATTATAATCATATATTTATTAATTGAAGTAACTCTTGTTCACTCATTTTCTTTTTATCTTAACTTATATGTTGAATATGCTTCACACATTTTTTTCTAAAAAAATTGCTCTATTCTTTTTAATTAATATCATGTCATTGAAAGTAAAAAAATCTTTAATATTTTTTCTATTAAATATTGCATCATCTAGTTTAACCAAAAAAAGAATATTATTCTAATAGTTTTATAATATATCTGTAAAATACATTTGAATATTAAAAAATAATACATTAATTTTTAGCATAATATTTTTTCGGCGAAACTGTTAAATTAATTCCAAAAAACTATTATGGGTTTTACGCAGAGCAAGTGCTCGTGCAATCAATAGAAAAATAGCGTAATTTGCTGAGAATCGTCTGACGACAATTCTACGCTGATTTTGACTAACTTTTGATAGAAAAATTGTATTAAAAAAACTGTCGTTTGAAATTAACGTCCATGGAAAATTGACGGATGATACATCTACGGACCATGGGATTGTTTATAGAGGAAATATAGGTGATGCGTGATGAGTTTCCACGAATATCAATGACTTTCTATTTTTCTAAGAACTAATGTTGTAATTTTTTATGATTATTTAGTGCATAATAAAAAATTACAAAATAATGTTATTCATGAGTAATACTACTTTCATTTTAAATTATAGTATATTTTTAAAAGAATTTTTTCATCTCAAAATATAAGACACTTTGGGTAAATTAAGATTTTATTAAATGTAATAATTTTAATATTATCCTTTCTCTCTATAATTAATTTTTATATTTTCTCTTTTCAATATATTAAATGATGGATATTTTTAAAAATTTATTTTTTTTGAAAAGATAAAATTGTTAAGTATATTTAATGAGGTTTATTGATATGTGATATTTTATTTAAAAATACCTTATAATTTAAAATAGATGGAGTAAATTTTAAAACAAGACTTGTGCATTTAAGTTTATATTTTATCCAATCAAATCAAAATATATAAATTTTATTATATTAATGATAAAATGTGTCACAGGATAAATAATGTCTAAAAGATATATATCTGAATCTAATTAAAAATAAATATTTAAAATATATAAAATTATGTATACAAGTTTTTTTTTAATAAATTTTATCATCGATCCAATGGAAAATAATGGATTTGCTGCAGGTTTTTGTTATTGAACATGGATGGACAGCCAAAAGACACAACCAATCGAGTAATTCAAAAATTGAATACTTGGTGACTTTTGAATTTTGATTCTTTTATGAATTTCACAATTCTGCCCTCGTGTCAGTCATTATCTTTTGATAAACTTAATTGCGCATCTCCCAACAAGAAATCTGGGCGAATGAGAGGAGGGCATGTGGAGGCCAATATCTGGCATCTCCCTCTAGAGACACCCTCACATGATTCTTGTGAACTCAGATTAGCCTGTTTACGTCCATTAACTAATTCTGTGTTACAGTGAGTCCCCAATTATTAACGCATAAACAATTATGGCTATTAGCTGTTGTTGTGCCTAAAACCACCCTCAGTTGCAGCCTCTCGTGCTGTCTTCTGGATTATTAATCAGATCCCATGCTGATTAAATATAATTAATCCAGCTCTTATGATATTGCTTCCCAATGAATTGAGGAAGGAATTAAAGAGTTTGCTTTGAAATTAAGTTGACAATTCAGATACCTCAAAATATTACTATACGAAGCCCCTCGGGATAAGTGCATCCAATACAATTGGAGAATACAAAACATGATCATGGAATTGATACAAATATATAGCGATTCACTAGTTTCTCATTGTTTTGATAGGCCCGAAACTTGTTGCTCACTAGTAATTACTTCTTTCATCTCTATTCACCTGACCTCATGGAAGATATACAAAGAAAACAAAATATACATACAATGTAATACTCCATCTGGCCTTATATACAGGATATTTTCTATAAGTTTATTTTATTCTTAAATATAAAATGTCATGGTGTTTTTAAATAATTAAAAAGTTTTGCTCTTGTTTTTGAAAAAAAATGGAAAAATATAATAATTGTGTGTTTTATTCATCACTAGCTACTATGATATTAATTAACGTTATTAGAGATAAAATTAAAAATTATTGAGATTTGATGTGGTTTTGATGAAATAACAAATCAGTTAAAAATGCTTTATCTATAATAAGGGAGTAAGTATTTTTTTTTAAAAAAAATTATCCTTCATCCTAAGTACATACTTGACATCTATCTGACATGGCTGGGTATATTAATTGAAAATAAATGGTAATCATACTTTGAAATTTAGAATAAGACAGTATTTAAGAACATGAGAAAAAAATATAAATGAAAAAACAAAAGTAAATAGAGATAAATAAAGTATGAAACTGCATGGGAATATAAAAAATAAGTGGCCACCAGGTTATGATTAAACTGAAAGGGAGGGTGTTTCTTATCCGATACAGAGAGAACGTGCATTGTCTCGGAAGCTGAAAGCTCAGAATCAGGAACACGTGTGGTTTCCTTCACTGCCAAAAACAAGCCTCATGGCGCCGGAAGCGACCGTTTTTATGGTTAATAAAATTATTAGGCAGCTCATTGCTTTGAATTTAAGTTCCACCACCCCTTCCATTGATCCACCAAAATCTCTCTCAATGTCATAAATACTACAAGAGAAATGTGAGAGAGTAATTTGGTGCTTTTCATGCCAAGTAGATCTCTCAGGTTGTGGGTCAAGTCAAGTGTTGGATAATCAGAATCTTGGCGAGTAAAGAGGGAAATTAAAGTTACTATATAATAGTAATCAGTTAATGAAAAGTAGAGAGAACGAAAGAAGAGAATAAATTCAATCTCATGCTTGCCATTACCGAGGACTGAGATACAGAGATCTGCAGAAGCCCATATTTATTGAGCCTGGCTACCACCACGAACCACCCAAATGGCCTTCCCATAGCTCTTCACAACATTTACTCCAAAACATTACAAGAGCAAACATTAAGATTTTGGGTGCTCAATGCTCATCGTTCACCACTCAACCCGTGAGATTAATGTAATTTTATTTTTATAGTTTTAATATATTCCTAATCTAAAATCAATATGCTGTTTTAACTATTATTTTGTCAAATTCAATAATTTCTTAATTTTAATTTCATCAATTGTATTTGAATTATGTAGATCTTACTGTAGTCACCAGTCATGACCAAAACAGAATCCCCGTTTAATTAGGCTTTTCGAACCTGAGCCTTTTTTAAAACGCTGAAAATGCCGTTTCTTTAATGGATCATCAAAAACAAGCTTTTGGAAAGAAGACGATGGTGAAGAAAGTCAAAATACCACAAATACCCTGATTTCCCGGAAAAGCCCTTTTCATTTTCCATGCACAGATCATTTTTAATAAACTAGTACGTTGCTCGCACGGGTATAAAAAAAATAAAAAAATAATTTTAAATAAATAATAATATTCAATAATTATTCATGATATAAAATGTTTTTTTGGTGAAAGTAAATTTTCTAATATTAGCTATTGAGATCTGCAAAACACAAACTAATTCCAAACTAAAATTTATAGGTATTAAAACAATGTTTTTATTAACTTCTAAATAAAATAATTTGTGGTGCATATGATATTTTTATTTAAATTTTTTGTTATTGTAATTAAGAAACAGTTAAGATCAAGTAAATTTAAAGCAATCTTTAAAATAAGAAAAACAAAGTGACGAACACGTGTCAATGTCAAATGCTGCTCACGGTTTTATTTTTTTAAGAAGTTGAGATAATTGGAACATATTTAAAGGTAAGATAGTATTATTTATTTTTTAAAATTATAAATTAAAAAGATAAATGAAGCAAAATAGAGTCAAGGACACATGTTACCATCAAATGCTGGTTGTGATTTTACTTTTTTAAAAAGTTGAGATAATGCAGACATTTTTAAGGTAAGGTAGTATTATTTATTTTTTTAAATTAAAAAATTAAAAATAAAGAAAGCAAAATAGAGTTAGGAACACATGTCATTGTTAGATGTTGCTTGTAATTCTACTTTGTTAAAAAGTTGAGATAATGAAGAGATATATGAGGGTAAGATAGTTTTATTTCATTTTAAAAATTAAAAAATAAATAAAGCAAAATAAAATTAAGGACACATGTCATTGCTAAGTACTGTTTATGGTTTTATTTTTATATATAGAGATTGTTATATAATAAAAAAAATAAAGATATAGTTTCTTTTCTTTGTATTATCCTCTCGCTCGCCCTCTTACAATTGTAACAGAACTGCACATGATTTTAAGTCATAATTAGTGGATTTTGATGGGACACAGTAGAAGATCAGCAAGTATCGTAAAATTAATATATTATCACCATTTAATGTTATCGTATTATTGTATACCGCATCAATTTCCTTTTCTCATCTCTTGATCCTATTAATGCATATATAAAATATGCTTCCTTTGTATGCTTTTGTTACTATATGTAATCTTTGTTACTGATTTCATTTCTAAAAAATTGGCACACATGATTAAAGTATCAATTTGTAATTTACCCATGAAATTTATAAAAAAAAATGAAATACGAAAATGTAAATATATCAATTTCTAAATCAACTATACATTTGAGGTAATCAGGTGAATAATAGGTTGGAGGGAAGAAGCGCATGCATCAATCAATATTTGCCAACTCATCTGCATATTCTACATACAAGCAAATCTCAATCCCATGCAGCTAACTGTCACATAACTAAAATAAAACCGCGACAACAAAATCAAGAGCAACAACAATTTTTTTTATATTAAAAAAAGTACAGGTGAGTTAGTTTTCAAGAGCTTACTAAAGTTAGAGCATGTTTTAAATTTAAAGAATATTTATAAAAGTATTTACAAATTGCTTACCAATAAAATGCTTATATTAACAGTAAAATTTGAACTTACAACCTTATAGATTAAATTCTTGTCAACTGAATCAATCTTTGTTAGTAGATCAACAACAAAATTAGTTAAATAAAATGCTGTTTTACTTCCAAACTAATCATCGTTTTGATGAAAAATCCCGTTCATTTAATATAAACCAGTAGAATTTCAATTCTGTGATCGATTGAGGTACAATACAACCCAACCATTTCTAAACAATTGATTGATGGGTCTAATTATTTAACAGCTTGCGTGTCACAAAATGGTCGTATTAAGAACATTATTAGGTATATATACCTGGCAAATCCTTTGATGCCGACTTCATTATTTCTTTCCCCTTCTTTCAAGAGAGAACACATGTGATTCAGGTCTTATAGTTCAACTTATTTATTTTTTTGGATACAACGGAAAAAATAATTCAACTTATTTAAGAACTTGTCTCTAACTTCCTTCCTGATAAATAATGCTCACCAAATTATAACATTTGGGTAGTCTGTTTTCATTTTCTCTCTCTTTTTCCAACAAAACTACAATAAATAAATTTCTCATAAGAAATCATACTTTTAATTCCTATCTATTTTTTTAAAAATGTTTAGTTTCATCCTTGTAATTTTAAAAAATAATTTATATTTTAAAGAAACGATTAAAAACCTTTTTAAAATCTGTATAATTCCTTATGTCTAATTCATGCGTAAAAAAGGTCTATACTTTAACAGAAGATATCGAATGATAATGTGAAAAGGCATAACTGTTCACTAGAGAGAAAGGAGCTGTAGAGTATGTTTAAGAACCAAAAAATAAAAATACGTTTTTTTTTTCAGAACAATTATCTCAGAACATTTAAAAAACATTTTTGTTATTTTATTCTTTAAAATAATCTTTTTTTAAATATTTTTTAAAAACACGTTACTAAATAATTTTTTTTTCATTTTAAAAAATAAAAAATTATTCTCAAAATAAATTGCCAAACAAACTAGTAGCTTCTCTTCAGAATATTCAGGCAAGAGCTGAGGTTTTTTTTTTTTTTTGGTGGGGGGAGGGGGACTTTGACCCGAGGTAAGAGCCGAGTTGAACTTGCGTTGAACCCCACACAACAATGGCGTAACTTGTAGCATTCGCAGGCACCAAGTTTGTGATAAGAAGGGAGAAATTCCAGACCACTAATATCATGTGAAGCTCACATGGAGGACACATGCACGCCCCATTCCATAGATTAAGCTTCAATTTCTTCCATGGAAGTTGTTCAATACTAACCCCCAAAAATTATAATGACGTCAAGATAATAATACAAATCATGTATCTATGCTACTTGGTGAAATTGTTTCTTGTGTCACTTAAAATAAAAGAAAAAAACATAAATTATGTGTGGATGTAAGCAAAAAGAAAGGGGCATGCAAACGCTTGGCTCTATGTGTGTGTGTGTATCTAATTATCTCCTTGACGTTTCTTGTCTAAATCCTACTAGAACAACCAGTGTTTCTTATTTGGTTTATGCCTGACCGGGGCACCTGCAACAAAAAATTAAATAAATCATTAATCCATCAATAGGTTCGTCCTCAGTACCTGTCCACAGCAGAATTTGTAGTTTTTATCGGAAAAGGGTCAGTTCATAGAAAGGCTAACGCACCCTGAAATGCATACAGTGAATTGTAATGAACCTCAGACCAGAAGCTCAGCCATAACGCTGCATCATTTGAGAAAATGAAGGTAATCATAGGAATAGGACGTTGCTGAGATTAATAACAATTTCGAGTATAATGATTGAAACAATAATGAACATGGAGCTCTTACCACACTTTGGCACTCTATTCAGCGGCGTAATTTCAACAAAACACGTGTCTCTGAACGATGTCAAAAGACATATCTTTGCAGCAAACTACATTATAGAGAATAAATCAACATAGTACTACATGTTGACAGCGACACACAAGAAATAAGCTCAAAGGAGTCAGAGTGTTTAATGTAAGATGCTAAGAAATTTCAGATGCAACTTCTCTGGGCAGAATGAAGTCAGTGCAAGAACTCTACTTACACAAGGGTTTCATAAAAATGCATTACCATAACATCATCATTGTCATTAGCGTATTTCATCTACCATCTGCTATATATAAATCGTAGCACAGCAAGCTCTCCTACATAGATCTACAACTTAGCCTTACAAGTCCTTTCACCTTTGATAAGGAACGATTACTTGCAACTCAAGTGGTTACTTCGGGATCATATTCAGCACCATATGTCTTCACTCACTGACAGATAAAGCTGAAATCCAGTTTCTTATAATCGCGTATATGAATTTATGCTTTCCCATTACACCAAATGTGAGGCTTACATCACAGCACACATAAAATTTAAAAAAAAAAAAAAAAACTGTTGACTACCATCAATATTACTAAACAGATGGTCTTGTTCTTCGCAGAATGCATTAACTCTTGTAAGTCAAACAAACTAATTTAACACAGCATCACGAACCTTGTCAGCAGCTGCCTGTAAGGTAACATGGTCGCCCCATTCTCCAGAGCTGTGCCAGAAAGAAAGTGAATGCAGTAAGTTAACACTAGCATATGCATGAAAATATTACTGGTGAAGAGTGGAGGCTAAGTATAGAATGCCTAAAGTCCCATATGTAGTATGAATATTTTGTGGTGCATCTAAATGCGCTGGTTATCTCCCATTTCACTAGGTAGCTTTTGAAGGAAATGTTCCATCTAACTTGAGTACCACCCATCAATTACTAACAAATGTAGTGGGCTAATGGCTCATTGCATTTATAATAAATAGCAACTTATAATTCAGTGGAAAAATACGCACTTAGCCATTTCCTTGCAATACTGTGTGTACTTCATTGGGACATAGTATTCATATAAGGAACGATGATCTTTGAGCTGGCAAGGAGAAACATCAAGCAAAAAAGGAAAATCATTATCATACATCTGGAACATCAACTATGTCAACCCAGTTAAGCATATTGTAACTCAAGGAAACCACACGCTCTCACAATTAGAAACCTAACAGGCTCTATCTTTTCCACATGACAGATACTGACGCATTGCACCTGTTTTACAATCTCTCTTCGAACATACTTGTGATGTTCAGGTGACTTGTACAGCTGATCTGAAATCGCCCGGAACTGCAATATAGTGAGAATTATTATGAAGTTCCGAAAGGCTCATGTTTGTAAATGTATTTGCAAAATAAAATACCTGACAATTTCCATCACCAGAGACTATAAGTTCACGTAGACCATATATTTTTAGCCTGTAAAAGTGAAGAAAATTATTTAATACCTCCACTTCAGGTAGAGCAGGAATGAATTTGTATCATTTTATTAGTTGAGTCGGTCTTCATTATTTTACAAACCTAGGTTCCTAAGACATCAATTTGTACAACCACGGTCAACAACCAAAACAATTAGATTCAACAATTCTCGAAGCTGTAGACTATAGTCATAAACCTTGATACTTCAGAATCGTTTTTTTTTTTTTTGGACGTAAATGATACTTCAGAATCTGTATATACCAGGCCAAGGAATAACGCAGTTATTGCATTCAATCCTATAGTCTTAACAGGTCCGTGATAATTTTTTTTTTTCGAACGAAAGGTCCATGATAAATTTAATTACACCATTTCTCATATAAAGCCCTGCAGACTCAGATCACTATCTATTCCTTGAGGTTGAAAGATGCCCATTTATTGGTCTTATCAAGAATATTGTCGGCAGCAGTTTTATTTTGTGCACGTGTGGTTTCATGTTGGAAACCAGCAACATTTGGGCATGATTTTGGTTGTTTCTAATGTGAAACCAAACTTGCTCTTCATCATATATTTCTAGCCTTCTAGGCACAAACAAATAGCTGCCCATATAAATTAATATGGATCTCCAGTCCACTCCACACTTTCTTCTTGACAATGTAAGATAACTTGTCTCCGCTAAAGTAAATTTCATTGAATGACTAATTTGTGTACTGTTTCTATCTGTATCTCTTCCAAGCAAGAAAAATTATGCAAAATACTTGTCCCTATTTAAACAGATAAATATACGAGTGCATATCTTACACCCCTGCAGATATTGCCCGCTTTCTTTCAAAAGGGTACATGCAGAGCCTTCAAAGATTTAGAATATTTCTCACAAAAATTACTAAATTTCTGTAACTACAATAAGTACCTGTCAAGCAGACGCTGGTGATCCATCCTGGCATCACTTATGTTGGGGATGAAGGAATTTATCCGGGGCACATGCTACAATTTCAAGAAGTCGAGGAAAGGAACTTTAGAGGCACACATAAAGTTAGACAAAATGCATGGGAGAGAAAGATAATGACAGAAAATAAGAAAACCAGACCCAGCTACATTTAAATCCCATTCCTTCCCCTTCGTCGTGTCCAAGTTATCACTTATTAGATACGCACAGTAGTATTTATTTTCGAATCAACAATCATAATTCAAAAGCAGTATCAAACTCAGAAACCAAAATTCTTTCTCTTTTACAGGAAAAAAAATCAGAAAATCAGTTACTACAACAGAAAGTAAGCATGACCTTACAGGAACAGGTGCCAAGTTGGAAAGTCGGGTGCCAACTGCACCATCCAATTTGGCATACTCTTCTGATAGTACAACAGCAATCATCCGATCATCCTCAGTGTCATTCTGACTGCTACGAGATGTTGAACTAGAACTTTCACCCATCGATTGCTGGAAAACTGGTACAAAAGCCCTGGTCTGGCGATTGGTGGAAAACTTCAAGCTAACGCCTAAAGCCAATTTCACAATGATCCTCAGCTAGTAAACCTGCAAAAATTGAAAGGCCTTGATGATTATCAAACATTAATAAGTGCAAGTTCAACCATCGAATTGACAAGCGCTTTGCGTCTTTGCTATTCAGTTCCTCATGTCTAGATACAGTATAATTTAGCAAAATCGCGATTATTATGCACCTATTGAGCCATGAAATCAGTTTAAAGCATAAAGGAATCACCCAAGGAAAAAAAAAAAAAATTGTAAGGTAACAGAAAAGTCAAAGGGAATCTGTCCCATTGAAAGTAGTTTCACACCAATCCTTCCATCTCTGCATATATTCACGCAGAAAAGCATCATGACAGAAAGAGAACTATCACGATAATCATGTGCACAATGATGATGACCCATGCCATCAAGAAACTGGTATTAGCAAACTTTTCGCAACATTAAGTAGAATCTAAACGTAAAAATGGCTTTTAAGTATAACATATATTTCTTACGATCATATACAGACTGAATTTCAGGAATATCTCACGGACGACGTAGTTTAATCCATTAATTTTTTGATTGATAAAAGGAGAGTTTACAACAACGGTTGCATGGATTAATGAAGGATAGTAATCAGATCGGACCTCTTGATACAGCAATTGTAAGAACGTTTCGCCCAAGACCCAAACAAATTCAAGGGAGAACATGAAATGGATTACCAGAGCAAAGCAATTAAACAAACAGAAAATTCAATGAAATGATAAACATTAAACAATTAGATAAATTAGATAATAAAAAAGTCCAACGAGAAGATCAAAATATCACCAGTACGAAGTCAGTTCCCCCCCCCCCTCCCTTTTTGGGAATCGCCAATACGAAGTTAAAAAGACACAAATACCTGCAATCTTGCTGGAATATCTATGCGTAATGCTGAAGATCTTATGAAATGTATTTGATGAAGGACGAAATCAAATGTACCAAGAAGAGATGTTTAATTATTTCAAATTCACGCTATACTCTTAGCTGCAATTAAGACCCACTGAGTTCGACGCATCATACACAAAATCTTAGACTCTAATCTGTCTTGTACGGGTGATGACGCGATGAAAAGTGATTGTTCATTTTTCATTTAAATCATAAAAATATAGACATAAGCTTTGCCCAAAATTAGGATGATCAACTGTAATAGAAAAGACAGCGACGTGGTTGCCGTTGGTTGGCAGTTGAGATTTGAGAAGGTTGTTGGATTCCGCGGGTTCTGAGAAAGAGAAACGCAAGAACTAACAGATCTGTCAAAATCGGGTAGAGTCGCCCAGACATGAATGAAGACGCGCAACTTTTCTCCCGGATGATTCGGAACTAGCCCCACTTTGACTTGCTTGTTAGGAAATACTTGACATCGCTTCGTGATTCCCGAGTAGTGGTGTAGAGTCGAGGTTCCATATCTACCATAAGATCCTTACAAGTTACAAGCTACAAGCCGCAGCTTTAGCACACTCTTTCCACATAGAAGTTTAACCCTTGACAAGTTTTCTCCCATTCTTTTCTTGCGTGTCCAATTCCAACGTCGTTGTCTGACGGGGAAAAGGAGGGTAACGTGATTGTCTCAGCAGAAGCTTTACGTACCATGAAACACAAGCCTGAGTCAAAATTTTAGCAATCTCTGGCTGGGATTGATGGATTAAACCAACATTTTACCTGTTACAAAAGATCCTGACTGTATGGGCTATCTAAGGCAATTTTTACTATATATATATATATATACAAGGACGGTGTGTCATCCTTTTCTTTAATCTCAGACTGGAGCATGAAACAGCTGAGACTTTCTAAGTTGGAAACTATCCTGAGCTTATGCTGGTCGTGTCATAAAATGACCATTGATTTGTATTCATTTAACCGTCAATAAATCATCTTTCAAAGTGTAACAAATGCTTGGATCCTTCCAGGGACATTTTCCAAGAAGGCAGAGACAAAAGTGCGAAGTGATTTTGCATGCGATTGAAAAGTTCACGCCTTCACGACCTATTCTTCCTCTTTTTCGTACCTTTGCCACCGGAGAAAAATCCCTTGGTATATCGTGAGTTGACAAGCTCCCGAGGCACAGCTGCTCCGGTAGATTTTAAGACTTCAGTCAACTCTGCAAAGACATTCTTATTTTCCTCATTCACAAAAACTATGGCTTGACCTTCCTCTCCCATTCTAGACGCCCTTCCAATCTGATGTACATACTCCTTAATTGAATTAGGCATGTCAAACACAATTACCTGTCTTACGCCTACTAGATCAACCCCACTACCCAAAACTCCAGTCGCCACAACCACTGGAACCTCACCTACTAAAAAGAACCTCATTATTTCTCTCCTTTCCTTCATAGACTTCTCCCCGTGAATTGACAGCGCTTTAATTCCAGTGGTGACTGTAATGGCATTGGCCAGAAGATCTGCCCCAAGTCTAGACCCCACATACACAACCACAGGTGGCTTAAAATGCTGCTTACTAACCAAAATGTCAAACAGTTTCTGCTTCTTCTGCTTTGACTCAACCCAAATAGCTAGTTGCTTCACAGCCTTATTTGGTCTATTAGGCTCACCAACAGATATAACCACAGTATCTTTTGCCAGAGAGTTTGCCATCTTCTCTAACTCATGAGAGATTGTTGCAGAATACATCAAGACCTGAGGCTGGGCCATAGCCCTATATATCTGCATGACCTGATCACGGAAACCCCTTTCCAGCATGCAGTCCACCTCATCTACAACAAATGTCGTCATATCATCCAAGTCAATCTCATGCTTTGTTAAAAGATCAACCAGCCTTCCCGGAGTTCCTACTATCAGTTCTACTCCTTGTTGAATGCGATAGAGCTGCCTAGCCATGGCATCACCACCAACCACAAGTGCAGTTTTAAAAGGTAATCCCTTTCCAAGCAATTTAGCATGCTCTTCAACCTGAATACAGAGCTCTCTCGTAGGTGTTAACACTATAGCTAATGGCGTCTTCTTATCAGAAACATGCTCAAGACGATGCCTTGCACAATGAGAAACTATTGGAATTAAAAATGAAGCAGACTTTCCAGATCCTGTATCAGCCAAAACAAGCATGCTTTTGCCTATCAAAGCATTTGGGATTGCCTGCATCTGGACAGGTGTGGGCACGTCATATCCTGCAGCTTCTATATTGTGGAGGAGCTTATCAGGAAGGTTGCAACCCGTGAATGACAATATTGGTCCTACTACATCACCCTTCACATTAATGTTGAGTTTCTTTCTAAGCATATCAGCGTCATCTCTAGATGAAGTACCTGATTCATAATCATTCTCTCTAACATAAAAGCACTCATCAGTTGCAGCAACAATCTTAGACGAACGAGTGACAGTAGGACATGGGTCAGTTCTGCGTAGTAGTTTCTGTTTACATTCCAAGCTGCACACATCGTCATCCGTTTCATCACATATGTACTCACCATAGCGGCCACATAGGACACACTTGGGCTCACCTGGTAGAGCTTCTCTTTGGTCCCTAGAACTCAATTTGACATCATCTCCTGCATCTAAAATTATAAAAGGAAAATTGAGATGGATTGGTATTTTCAATTATCAAAAGCAAGCTTTCAGGAGACTCAGACTTCCACACCAAGGCATTAAAAGTTCATCACAGAACCCTTCCTCCCGGGGTATGGAGCGGCTTGATAGCAATCCGTGGATATCTAGATAACGAAAAGTTCTGAATAACAACAGGGAAGCAAACATAGATATGCTGAAGCAGAAAGAGGAATTTGAAATAAGATGACAACAAAAAGACTTGATAGCAAGGCGAGACGAGTCGTAGATATGCATAAGCGAACACCCATGTAAAATGCAATCCCGTAGAGAAATTAAAGCAAATTAGGACAACGCAAATCAGGATACACTCAATTGAAGAAATTCGATGGTATTACCAGTGGGTGCATCACCATCAGTTGCCAGCGCTGAACTTTGAGATGGGTTATCCTGATCAGTGTCCAGGCAACCCATATGGTCTGCTTTGAATAAGATCCCACTTCGCAGAAAGACAATCGAGAATAATGTCAGATCGAAAAATTGAACTCCGCCTGAACTGTTTTCTTTACATTTTAGGGTTGAGGAAAACAGAAATCGTCGGTCCCGCGGGATACTTCCTCAAGCGCGAAGCCTGGAATTTGATCCTCGGGTAACAACAATGCAGCGCGCAAAGGATTCATGGCAAGAATTCGTTTCGAAATTCAATGGGAACCGCCTTACCCTGGGGTACACCAGGAATTATAGTTATCGAGCGCTAATTTGCTACAGCAGAATTTTTTTTTCTCCCAAAAACACACATGCTTAAATAAAATGTTAAATGCCAAGGAAAAAAATTGTTGATTTGCGGCCATCATATATGTACGTACTACATACATGCATATATATATATATATATATATTTCTAAATAAGTAGTACACTGATTAAAACCAAATTTTACATTATGAATTTAAATTCAAATATCTGCGGGATTCATGAATTATAAAATATAAAATTGACTTATATTTACAAAATATTTATATTATATGTTTATAATATAATTAAATAAAATTGTTTATAGCAGGCTAAAAAAAAATCGTATATCTTGCTTTTGATTGGCTTTTGTAATTTGCGGAACCAATCAGCGGCGAAAAAACAAAAGACTACTAAAAATTTAAAAACATCGTTTTCTTTCCCATGTGGTTCATGCACCCCAATACTAGTTGCTTACGTCTGGCTTGGAACTCATGAAACTTGATTTTTATTTTTAGTATTCTTGATATAAATCATTGTCAACTGGTTTATGTTTTTAAAATGGTTAGTTAAGATTCCAAATTTTTAAAAATTTACACATATCTTCAATGTGCTTTTAAGAATAATAAATATGACAATTGACTTATTTAAAACAATCCTATTATTTACTTAATAAAGCAAGGGTGTAATTGAAAAAATATTAAATATTTACTCAATGTCCTACATTTTAAATTAAACAAGACTTTTAAAAAATTACTTATATTGTGGTATGAAAGAGTAGGGATATGTAAAAGTTCAATTGTTCTGTCTAACCCGAACAAGTCTAATGCTATTCAATCTAGTAAAATAATTAATCTAAAAGACTAAAAAGATCAAACTAGCTTTTTAGATTTGACTAGATAAGAGATCAAGCTCTCAAGCCACTTGATCCATTCCGGACCCAATCATATGAAATTATTTTAATATAATGTTAATTATTTTAATATATTTGAATAGTTTAAAGTTTGAATGTAGTGTTTCCTTCATTCACATTTCACCTTTCTATTTATTGTAATTTTAATTTAGTTTGCCACTAAATTTTTATTGTAATATATATTAGACATATTGCTGAAATTTATTGAATGTTATTGTTGTTGTTAAAGTTATGAATTTGAATCATGTAGATTGTAACTAAAATATTTTTTGTTGTTCTTAGAGATTGTTATGGATTTTTTATGACTATAAATATTTTTATTATCTTAATTGAGTTTATTATGATGAAATGAATTGTTACTTCTCATACAAGAAAAAAAAATTAAGTGAGTATTGAACTATTGAGATTAATCTTTTAATTCTATAGATCAAGTTTGATTTATTAATCTTCAGATTATAACTAGATCAGATCAGATTACAAATTGTCTAACCTAATTTTTTTTTTCATAAAAAAAGACTAAACTTTTGGTAAAATTAAAGTCGATTCTTATCCAATCCTTTGTACAATGCATGAGAGAGTATTAAGAAGAAGATCAGGCCAAATCACCATGATCAATGCTAGACTAGAGCCACCTATGACCTACCTAATTTAACATTTACATGCACTATACTATACTATAATATAAATGCTACTTTGTAAAGTGTAAACAGTATATATATATATATATATATATATGTTACCTTCTAAGACTTTTATATAAATCGGTTATATTAAATCAAACCAGCCTAGCAAGAAAACCTTCCAAGTAAGCAAGCACCTCCTCCTCGTCTTTTGCATGCTTCATCTAAAGGAATTGTTATGAAGGTGAGTGCTTAGGAAACTTCAGAGAGGAAGAAGCTGTTTCGTTTATAGTTTGTCCTAGCTTGCCAGGAGATCAGTGCACAGCACATGCTTCCTAGCTATACCTTGCACCTTTTGTTCCAAATATTCTAACTTTTCTCTTATTGGTTTGGCTCCTTCCACATGTACCTTAGATGCCTCCCTCTCAATTTCTAACCGTTATAGTACTTCTGTCACAGCTCACAGATGCTTTTTCTCAAGGCCAAAAATGAGTTTCTAGTTGTTATACTCTTGCCACACTTTACTAACACAATTAATACCAGCAATTTGAATCAGAATCCCTCATTCAATTAGGGGGAAAAAATGCAAAGTCCATTATTTATTACAGCTCAATTAGTTAGGCAGGCTTCACGTTACAGATTTGCAGATCATCATGCTGAAATACACCAGCATTTGTACCATTACATGCAAGGCACTTCAATGAATTTCCAACACTAAAAGGAAGAATCACCAGCGCGAATTCTGAGTTATTCTTGCCCTCTGCCAGTATTGAGCATCAGAACTCAGAAAATAAGCACAGCTAATTGAAAAAGCTTAACTTGCGGCCCTCCCTTATTCTAATTAAAAACGTAATGAAGGGAGAAAGGTTGAGCTAAACTTGTATATACCAGTATGTTGTTCATGCACCACTCTGCTGCATTTCCTGCAGCCTCTTGAGTGATTCTTGCTTCTGCAATATTATCTGCCTCCTGAATTTCCTGATGAACAGGTCTGCCATGTGGTCAACCTCGTCTTCCATTTTGAACTCCTCCCCTGCTTCCTCCTTCGAGTTCTTCACCATGTCAATCACAGACCCTCCAAAATCCAAATCCTCGGACTCGAACAAAGTGTGTGTCAGATCCGGGTACTTGCCCTCGTCTTCCTCGTACCAGTAGTAACTTTCATAGCCATCCTGGTCTCTGTCCTCCACCACCTGGGTGTCGCTGGGATTGGCCAGGGCCTCGTAGGCGTGGACAGCGTCATTGTGCAACACGATGGCTTTGCTCTGGTCGGTGCCATCTTCCAAGAAACACTCTTCATTGGGATGAGGATTTTGGCCGAGAACAGATTGGAGCTTCTCCGAGAGGGAGCTCATTAGAAACTTCTTATTCCTTAGAAGTGAGAATATAATCAGACGAGCCTTGATGGCACTTGCTTTTGTCCTCAGAGACACGGTCTTGGCCTTTGCCATTGAACTTAGACCGGCTATAATCTGTTTCACCAGCCCGGATGCTTTTTTCTTCATATTGTACAGAAAAGATGGGATTTTGAAGCTTGCTTGGATGAGGATTATAGGAAACTCTATCCGGGATTGATCGTTTTTTTGATTGAAACACAAAGAAGGAGGAGATATATGATAATGCGAAGAAGATAAGAGTACTAAGCTTCGTACGCAGCTGAGTGGGAAAAGCAGTGTTTTGGCATGGAAAGAGTACAATGTGGGTATATGGGCTTATATAGGCAGAACCAGCGAGCGAAATGATGCGACGATCCATCTATGGATCTAATGACAACCAGCTGTCTTCGTGAGAGAGAGACAACCTGAAGAAGGAAAAGTGGAGGTTAAGAAAGGAAAAGGAGGGTAACTCCGATAGATAAAGCAGATAAAGCGAGGGACACGCGGCCAACGCATGATAGGCCTTATGAATAAATGCTGGTAAAGTGGTATACGAATAAGTAACGAAGCTGCTACCACACATACAGAAATCGAGAGTTGGGGAATTTTTACCTTTTTAGCGAGGTTGATGTCTTCAAGATTTTGATATTGACCGAAAGCAGCAAAAAGTAACAAGAGATGGGCCTCTGCCGCTGCTTTGACACACTCCGTATAATCTCTAACAGAGGGTCTCACAATTATTTGACTCATTTGATGCTTTTGAGGGAGAAAAATTAGAGTCAGTAAGTTTAAATTAAATTTAACAGATCAATTTAAATCTATCCAAAAGATTTAAATTTAAATTTAAAAAAAATAATATTTTTTATTATTCGGTTATATTCAAACGCTTAAATAGGCCTAAGAAAATTTAGACTAAGCCTGGTCGGATTCAGGTTTGGCCCAAATACCCGAATAAAAAAAATAATTTTTTTAAAAATATATAATATAATAAATATTAATTATTTTTTAAGTTTTATATCATTTTATTTTAAAATACCATATATTTGAGTGTATTACTATAGTTATTTTAAAAAAAATAAAAATATTTATATTTTTTCATTTTTATTATTTTTAATTAAATAAAATATCTCAAAATAATAATTAAAATATATTTTAATATTAATTTTTAAAAAAAAATTGAGTCATATAAACCATTTTTTTGTCCAAAAAATTATATTTTATATTTTATAAATAAGATAATTAATTTTAAATTAAAAATAATTTTAAAAATAAAATTTGGACATGTACGAATTTCCGGCTCTACTACTAAACAAACATAATAAATAAAATAATATTTTTAGATAATTATTTGGTTATTATCCATGCCAAACTTAGTTAAAAATTAAGAATGAACTAAAGTAAATATTTTTTGTATATAGGACTTAAACAATATAAAAGATTAAAGAAAAAAATTCAAAAAAAATAATATTTTACCCATAATTAAATAATTTTGTTTTATATAATATAATGACGACTATTTTTTTCATATTTTTAAAAATAAAAAGTACAGTTATCCAATAGTTATTAAAAACTTTGAACTAATCAGGATAGTAATTTTAAATTAGTGGTTTAACCGTAGTTGAATTGAGATTAACTTGATCATAATTAAAATAATATGATTCAATTAAAATATATAAATATTTTTATATAACTATAATAAGAGCAATATTTAAATAAATAAGACATTAATTTACAAGTAAAGGAAATATTCATGAATAAATTGCACATAATACAACAAAACAATAACAAAGCTACTTAAATACTTAACTACAAAGTTAATAAGTTATTATTTTTTATTCCTTTCAAGTTAAAATAATATGTTATGCTTAATAAAATTATTTAAAAATTAAAATTAACTTAAAATAAAAAAATATTTTTAAAAAAATTTGGGTATTCGGGCCGACCCGAATAAGCTCGAAGTCCGAAGGCGTTAGAGTTAGATTTGACTATATAGGCTTTTTAGAAAAAGTAAGATTTTTTAAACTCGATTCGAATAAGCTTGACCCGAATTGAACCCAATTCGAATAAGCCCGACCCATCCGAATTACCGACTATGAGAGGAACACACACTTGGATAAGCTTCAACAGATCATCTGACGGTGGTGAAACGAAAGGGCAATCATCATCACTGTTAAAATGGAAGCTTCTTTCTAGTGCCACTCCTACGTATCATGTCGTTTTACTAAATGTGAGATTCTGTAGGGTAGAACTGTGAACTAAGGTATCAGATTTTGGAGAGAGAGAGCAATAATAAAGTGGGAGGGTACTGTTGAGAAATTCCGGACCACTTAGTGCAGCAACGAATTTTGAAGGCGTTGCGTGAACAAGGTTGAACTATGTACGTGCCAAAGAATGCGATCTCTTTCAAGACTTAACCTCTAAGGCTACGCAAATCCTTCCCAGTTTTTTTTTTTTTTTTCGTTTCAATTAATCCTCGCCACGACTTTCAAGTGCAGACTACTTTCTCGTTATTGCAAATTAATTACAATGAACCCACAAAAGAAGAACAATGCGTGCATGTCTTTGCACAGATTGCGTGCCCAACAACACACCACAATCGTGCACGACAAAAAACAAAAAAAAAAAAACAACATTATATAATGCACGTAGTATTACGGAAGAACCATGTACATTAACAAATTATCAAGAGAAAAATTTGTTCGTGCTCCCAATTAAGGCTATATTTTTAACTTTTTAAAAGTGCATGTGCGTGAAATTAGCGAACAAGTTAAACGCGGCACACATGGAAAGCACATATATAAATCAATTATGTGAAGGGCAATCAATCAAAATTGGTGCCGCGCACTAATATTGATTTAAAGTTTTCATGCTCGTGCACTTTTTTATGACCTTTTTTAACGCAGTTTGAAATGACACAGCAACTTTGGTGCAACTTGATATTTCTATAAATATAAAAAGATGCCTACTTGATATTTTTGTGAAATGAATATGGAAAAAGATGTCTCTGATATTATTTTGTATACTATAATATGTTAAACTTAGGCATCGGTTTCGGTCGCTGTTAGCATTTGGGTTCTTCATGACTGGGAATTAAACAAAGTGTTTCAATTATGTGCTTTGCTAACCAAAGCTTAACGTACCACGAACTTTTGGATGCATGCTTCCTTTAAAGGAAATTGTGAAGGATTGATCATGGGATACTTTTCAGACCACAAAAAAGTGATTGTTTCCTTAAAATGTTTTGGATAAATATTAAATAGTCCCTTTTTCCAGTTGTTATATTTGAATTATATGCAGCTAAAGTATATTTTTAATCCTTTAACTTTAGATAAAGTTTTAATTTAGTCCTTTAATTTTATAAAATATCTTTTTAATTTTTTAATCTTAACATCATTTGTTTCAAATTATTATTTTTTATGTCATTTATTATTATTTTGAAAAATTAAACTTAATATGTTAACATTTGAAAATATTTTATTAATATTTAAAAGTTTAATATAAAAATTTATTGAGATAAACCCAACAGTGTTAGAGTTAGAAAATTAAAAAAAATATTTTATAAAATTAAAAAACTAAAATAAAATATCCATAAAATAAATGATTAAATGTATACTTCAGCTGCATTTTGTGAGTGTGAAATATAAATAAAATTTCAATGAAGAAAATATAATTTTAAATTATTTTTTGTTGTGAAAAATAAGAGTATAAAATTTTCAATATCGGAGGAATAAAAATAAGGTAGATTGCCATATATATATATATATATATATACCAAGAAAATAATAATGTAATTTTAACTTAAATTTCTCTTGCTAAAGGTTGCATCACATAATTAAAAAACTAGTTGAATTAAGGTTGGAAAAATTAATCTACAAGTCCTTATAATTTTACTCAATTTTTAATTGATTAAGTCCCTGTTACTCTTTCCATTCAAAAATATAAAGTATTTTTTTAAGAGGTTAAATGTTAAAAAATATAAGATATTTTTACTATTTCAAGGTGTAATTATTATTTTTTAAGGAAAATCATATTTAGCCACCTCCCAAGAAAATTTATCATAGACAAAGACCAACAACAAGTTCCATTCAAGAAAGAATAAATTATGTTTTCATTTGAACAACAATTTGTTTCACATTTGTCCTTATCTATTGATTAATTCTCTTAGAATGAGGCAGGCTAGCTTGTGATTTTTCCTTTTAAAAGTACCCTATTAAATAAATTACTTTATATTTATTTTAGGGTGAAACACCATATCAAATAGAGGTAAATATAAAAAGATATAAGTTAGTTTGACAATAAATCATTATTTTTATGAGGGATGAGATTCCGTTAAAAATGTTTTACATTTTTTTAATACAGGAAGTACTTATTTTTATAATCAAACTATTATAGTTTAATCCTTGATTATTAAATTATTTAATTTTACATTTTAAAAAATATAAATTATTTAATTTTACAATAGTTCCTCTATGTTTATTAAATGATTATATACTTTTAGGAATTAATTACATAATTTTTATAACTCAAAAATTTATATAATTAAGCTATGTTTTTTAAATAA